GGATCATTGTCCCCGCTTCTTTTCTCAGCCATTGCCAATTCTCAATCCATACACACACTTCTTATCAGACCAGTTGTGCCTTCTGTCCTCTGTTCTATTCACCCACCCACTGGTTTCTGCTCTGTCTCCTTGTTCAACCAATGCCCAATGAAGACTAGCTTCTTCCCTCTCAGATCTTAAGTCTCAGTTCCATACCCAAGTTGTTCCAGCTTTCATTCTCTCCCTTCCCTTTGGTCTCCATATTTATGTCTAGACTACATGGCTCCGTTGACGGAGCCATGAAAACTAGTTTACCTGACATAGTCAGTGAAGCGGGGATTTAAATAATCCCCGCTTCATTAAAATAAAAATGGCCTCCACACTGTGCTGACAACCAGCTGATCCAGCTCAGCATGTCAGTCTAGACGTGGATCGGTCGACAAGGGAAGCCTTTGTTGACAACTCCTGTAGACCTCGTTTAATGAGGCATAAGGGAGTGGTCGACAAAGGCTTCCCTTATCGACCGATCCGCCTCTAGACTGCTGCACTGTGCCAGATCAGCTGATTGTCGGCACAGTGCAGTGGCCATTTTTATTTTAAGAATCGGGGATTCTTCATTGACTATGTTGGGTAAACTAGTTTACATGGCTCCATCGATGGAGTCACATAGTCTAAACATATCCCATTTGTTTGTCCTTCCATCTGCCTCAATTGCATCCTGGACTCAGCAGACTGCTTCTTCCAAACAACTCTTCTACTTTCTTTCAGTGATATAGGCTGACTTTTATTCTAATCAAATAAAACGGCTTCTCCCTCCATACTGTCTTTGTGCCAACAGGGGTGTCATGGAAAGCACAGGTTCCCTGCGCTCAGTTCTCATGGATGGTCCTACCCCAACCTTGAGTATCTGGATGTAGTCATTACTGGAAAAGTCCTTCTGAGCTCATGTAGTCCTAGGCTGCAGCATTTTCAGTTGCTTAACTCCTCCCCTGCCCTTCCAGTGCTTCCAGAGCACCACAAACAGCTAATTCATGGCATTCAGGAAGTTCTGTGGGAGAGGGGGAGGAGTGGGGATAGGGCACACTTGGGGGGAGGAAGTGGGGAAGAGGTGGAGGTAGGAGAAGAGATTTTTCCACAGTCACATTTGCAGGGAACCATAAAAGGATTTTGCCAACTTTTGTAACAAAAGTGGATCTCCTGCTCGGCCATATCTCATGTAATCAATTATTTCCATTGCATTGGTGGCACCTCAGCCTTTCTTGTTCTCTGTGTGGGACACACAACAGTCTAGTCTCCTGAGAACTGAAATGTTATCAGGTGCAAACTAGAGGTAACTGGGTGAGGTCAGATTACATGAGCTGATGATCCTTTCTGGCTGGAAACTCTGAACCCTACGAAGAGCCAAATTAGCCAATTATGGCTGGCAGCACAGGTATCAGGAGACTAGTGAACAGGAACTGGAGATACAGGAAAATGGTCAAAATAAAATAAAAGACCCATCTGGTGAAGAGGGCTTGCCAAGAAAGCTGTAGTTTACAGCTGGTTAGTGAGAGGGCTAATGTTGTTCTGTTGATTATGCTGTAATTTATAGTAAACTTTATCTAAGTTTGATTTTGATTTTTTAAAATCCCCTTTTCCATCTGAAGGGGAATGATAAACTAAAAGCATTGGTGTATTTTTAGGATTTTTTTCTTTTTTTAGAAAACCAACCCACACACTCGGTTTCTATAGCTGCTGCATGTCAAAAAGAAAACTAATACTACAAATATTTTATGGAATGCAATATCTAAATTCATACCATGGTTAGAGCCAATCCAAGAAGATTGTGTTAATATATGAATCAGGATTACATTTAGGGTAGAATTTGTGGTTAAGGTCCAATTGGAGCCAGGTTTTTTGATTCAGAGATACGAAACAGCATGGATTCAGAACCAAACTATCAGGAGTCCCATTTAAACAGGCCAATGTTGTCCAATCAAGTTAGTAGCATAGTGGAGGCACTATGAAATGATCGGCTTCTCCTAAACCTTGGAAACATTTGCATAAGAATGAGAAAATAGCATCTCATTTTGTAACAGATCCAAAGCTCATTCAGTGGATAGACTCCTATTGACTTCACTGGGCTTTAGTAGTGAAGTAGCAGGATCAATTAGTAACATGAAATTGTCCTTCCTATTTTAAAAAGTAATTTGCAAAATTTCACAGAAGTAATAGTGTGTCCTAGTGCTCATGTGAATTATTCTGATGGAACAGTTTTGTCAAAATTGATACGTTTCTTGGGAATGTATTGATTTTGATTACATTTAATTGATGCAAAAGAAATGAATTGTTCTGTCTTTCTCATTGTAATAAGGTAAAAACATTTCATTTTGACCTTTTATAATCTTTCCACCGCTATTTCGTCTCATGAGTTTCTGCATATTTGCTATGTTGAGGATGCAAAATAAGACTGGCAATTATGAACACAAGAAGTTTCCATCTTTTCAGTAATGAACACTGACAATTTTGAAAGTGAAGAATCAGAACATAAACCGGTTACTCTAACAACCTTCCTTACAGCAGGAAGTCAGCTAATAATAGTAAGAATTCTCACATTCAGTTATATTAAGTTTGTATAATGGTCTAGAAACATAGAAAACAATACTTTCTATAAATGGAGAATCTGCCTGAGTTGTAAATAAAATGCTAAAGGCTTTACATGCCAGATGGGGGAAGAGGAGAATTTTTCATGTGTTAATTACTTTTCAGGTGAAGAACCCTATTTAAAAAAGCAGCTACATGTATGTATAACATTTCAATGTTTGAGGTTGTTTTTTCAAGCCTCTGAATTCTGTGTGCTCAAGCAAATGCATTCAAATACATTCCTCTTGGTTCTTGGGAGGCATGCAGACTATTTCACTGTACTCTTATTAGCAGATTCTAGCACAGTAGCAAACGTTTCCTGCAGCAAATATTGTATTCCCGATCCTAATCACAGGGGACTACTCTAATTGCCTTTATGATGCTTATATGCCTCTGCACGCTCAATGTCAGGATATTAAAGGTGCCCATGGCAGCTTCATGAAATGTATATTTATAGTAAAAACCTAAGTGTCCTGATAATATAAGCATTCACCAGTGTACTGGAAGATACACTTCAATATGTCTCTCTGTTGGTGCTATTCTCACAAGGGTACTTCAGTAAGTTACAAATTAACTATTGAAAGAAATCACACGCCTCTTATGTTCTCACTGTAATATACAAATTAGATGGAATTTTCAATGAGTTTGAAGGAGATTGTCTGAATCTTATTAGGAATTCAGGGTATGTCTACACTCCAGAGTTTTGTGGGAAAAACGGCTGTTTTTCCCACAAAACCTGAGTTAGGTCCACACTGCAATCATGTACTTCCACAAGTAAATCGAAAGAACAGAAGGGTTTTTCCGTCATTGGTAAACCTCTTTCTACAAGGAAGAAGCCTTCTTCCGAAAGCTCTTTCGGAAAAAGGTGTTTGTGGATGGAGAAGAGAGAGTTCTTTCGAAAGAAGAGCAAAGAAGAAAAAGCACCAATGCCTTGATGGTCACTCCATCCATAGTAATTACAGCTTACATGCAAGAAAGGGTCCATTCGGTGTGGATACTATCTTTCGAAAAAGCAGATCACTTTTTCGATGCGCTTGTGTGTGTGGACACTCTCTTTTGCAAGAAGTTTTTTAGGAAGATCACTTCCAAAAAAAGGTTCTTCCGAAAGAAGCCTGCAGTCTAGACATAGCCTCAGTATCCATATCTCTTCAGCTCTTCTTCCTGCTAGAACCTAGAACATTAATGGAAACTTCCTCAATTGGGGCAGATTCTCAGCTGGTTTAAACTGAGGTACCTCAGAAGTCAATGAAACTAAAGTGATTATGTCAGCTGATGCTCTGGCCCTCAGATCTAGATTTTGTGAAAACATAATGGGTGTCTCTCTCTTGGTCCTCTGCATTCAGACTGAGAACAATGTAAGTTCTTGGATTTCAAATCCAGAGACTGCGTAGATCTAGTATCAGAGCTGTCTCTTACTTGCACAAAGTGAAAATAGTATTGAGATGGCCCCATTCCTTGCATTAGCCAGAAAGAAGCTGATACTCTCTGTTGTCCAGGATGGGCACAGTTTTGAGTTCTTATGGCTTGAGTTACTGGTCATAATTTTCAAAAGTAAATGGGTGCCTCAATTTATTGGGCCCACTTTTGACAAGATCTTATTTATTTATTTATGTATTTATTTAAAAGAAGAGCATCCACATGTCATATCAGCTGGAGTCATGGGTGTCCTATGCCTCTGAAAATCATATACTTGGTGAATAAAGTTGAGCGTTCATACAAATAAAAGCCACTTTGGAAAAATCAAGGCCATACGCCCTTCTCCAGCTCTGTGATTCACTGATACAGTGTAATATTGCAAAGTTACTAATGGGGGGTTGTGGTTATGTTCTACAAGTTACCCGTTAACTTGTAATTCTGCTTTTTGAAAACATAAGCATTAGGTACTAAACATTGCAGGACTTATTGTTGGGAAGAGTGCAGTTGTACTCACTGTACTCACTGAAATAAGCAGTATTTCAAAATATGTGTATCAAAAGTACAGCTGTTCTATTTAACAAATGCATAATTAACACAATTTCATTGTTGTTTTTCAGTAGGGCTATGCAAAATATTTTGAAATATTTACTATTAAATTTATCAAGCTAGAAACAAATCTTTTCCTTATATTTCCCACTATTTTCGTTGATAAAAACCTGTTAACAATGTTTTGCTTCACATTTTCACTTTGCACAAAATTTCAACATTTCATGAAAAGTGTACTAAAATGTAGGAGCTCTAACTGTTCAAGAAAAAGCTGAAAATCTGTGTTACAAATCACTGTGAGGAAAATGTTCATTATTTCCCTTCCTCTGTACTGTAATATAAATAGAGCCATTGAATTAAGTGAGGTTGAACAATGGTGTCCTGTAATATACTTGTATATTCCAAAGCAGCTGTGATATCAGTCTGGGTATACTTACTGTCCTCTAGAGGTATGAACCAGCAGGGTGATTAGCGTAGATGTAGCTGGGCAGATACAATTTAAAGCTAACATAGCATATTTGAACTCCTCTTCACATACAACGTGATCTGTACAAAACAAGACAAGGAAGGATCAGTGATTTAAATACAGTTTATTGGGGGCTCAATGTCATTTTACAATATGCCCCCAACAAGGAGCAGAACTGAGTTACTGTGCTCCAAGAATAGCCTAAAGAGAAGATTGTAACTGAGAATGCATACACTGCAGGGCTTAACTCGAAATAAGCTATGCAAATTGAGCTGCATCAATTGCATATCTTATTTCAAAATAGCTTATTTCAAAATAGGGAGATCTACACAGCACTTATTTCAAAATAAGAAGTTCTCCAATTTGACAGTATTTTGAAATAACTGCATGCTGTGTAGACACAGACTAACTTATTTCAAAATATTGTTGCAATGTAGACGATCCTGAGACACCTCCTATGGCTGAAGAGAAAAAGTAAACGTTGTCAGGCATATCCCTGGTATTATATAAGGAGCTGTTAGATTCATTGTAAGTATAGGGTTCTGATATGTGTGGGCAGACAATTATACTCTGTAGCTATAGTATGAAAGGCCACAATCAAAATATGGAGAATTATTCTACTTCTTTTATCATTAATAATAAACAATTATTGTTGATATGTAAGCAACAATTTTCGGTATTTTGGGAGTTTGCAAAGCAGTTGAAGCAATAGTCAATGCTCTATTTGGAATATTTTATACAGTAGTTGGGTTTTCTTCTTAAAGATCAGAAACTGATTTATTTAAGTTTTGTATTCTGTGTTTATATATAAAATTGTTACTGATGTTTTCAGACACACTAAGTATACATATTGTTGGCTCAGTAACCTTCTAGAAGAAAGAAGTTATCATTTAAAGGAAGAAATATGGTATAATATCAGTCCAGAACAAATTTGAAAGAAGCCTTTTGCACTGAGGTAATATTGGAATGGCCCTGTGCCCAGGTTGGAAACGAGTTTAGAGCAAAATTCAGGAACTTGTTTTGTTGTTGTTGTTAATAGAACTTTATTTAGTGCTCTTAAATTGTTTTTGCTGCACCTAGAGTTGTGCATATGGTTCAGTGAACTGGAACAATTGAACAGAATATTTTCACATAGCGCTTTTGTGCATTTTATAGTCAATTAATTATATTTTTGCTTTAGAAAAATGAAATATTTACATATGCAGTTTTGCAACACAGACAAGTGTTTTAACTGCACCACAAGGGAACTGCCAACAGTGTCTGTATATACAGCTCGAGAAATAGTTTACAAATATTTTGAGGGGTATGATGCATGAACATGTATTTCTCTGGAAGTATTCCTCGTATATACACACATATTTAAGGGAATGGTGGCATTTCCTTATAGCAACTAAATGGGATGAAATTATGAAGTTGGATAAGATGCATTCATCAAAGTGTATTTTGTGAGTACTATAAGAAGTACACACACAAATTGCAAAAATGAGCATTTGTCTGTCTGTTGCTCAAAACAAGAGCAGCACACTTTTCTCAGGCTGTTCTTATGAAAGCCTCAGAGTAGTAATATGACACTATAGGTGGAATGTTAATCTGCACCTAGCTGTATTTTGCATTTAATATGGGTCCAAAATATTATAAATAGGTCACTTACATACTTCCTTGTCTGTTCTACCTTCATGTCATTACATTTAATTAAATAAATAGCACTTATGTTGGCAATGATCTAACTGAGAAACATACTGGATCTTGCACTGTGTGTCTACCTCTTCAGTTTTTTACCTGGACTGGCTTCCATTCTCATGGTGGAATCTGGAGGATCTTCTCAATCCTCTTCCTCCTTCATCTTTAAATAAATATCAATTCATGAGCTCCCATGTCTCATCTAAATGCCTCTGGCCAAAGAAGCTCAAACAAGGCTTTATTCGGGGTCCATTAACAGCATTTCTGTTAGCCAAAAAAAGGCTTTTTAGAGCCTCCTAACTTAGACAAGGTGAGCCTCACATTTCTAGCCGTGCAAAACATTATCATTAAACAACATTTGACTTTATTCTCATTATTAATTTTGTCCAGAATTTTTCAATTTTCTGAATGGAAAATTCAAAATGAAGAAGTTCAGTTAGACTTACTTCAGAATGAAGCAAATTCTTTCAGTTCAACATTTTGAAATAATTTAATTTCAGCATCTTATTTTCTAAGTAAATCAAATTACTCATATATTTAGAAAAATCTGGGTCTATGCAATTTGTTTTTGTAGTTTAAAAACGTCGTGGGAAACTTCGTTTTTTCCAACCAACCCTATTCATGGGCACATCAATAGAAGGTGTAATAAATGGTTAGGAGACGTGACTGCAAGAAAACTTATAATGGATTAATTTTTTATTAAAACATCTGTTAATCATTTATTAATTCATTATAAAATTTGTATAAATGGAACCTTAATAGAAAATGTGACCCATATATTTCGGTTATGTTCATAAGCCTGAGGCTGTGTATGTACATATTTTCCTGACTTGTGGATAGAGTGCAGACTAATCTGTCTAACAGCATTGGTGTTTCCATTAGAGTATGTTGACACTGAGCCCATGGTTACAGCTCAATGCATGGCAGCAAAGGGAAGTATACCTCTCTCTCTGTTTGGAATACTTGATTTACAGTAGAAGCAACCTGTATAATGAAATACAAAGTTTACTGACAGAACAATATTTCAGAGAATGCTAACAAACTTCTAATAGTCACTAAAATCTGAAGCTTACCTGCAAACTTGATGTGAAATTTATTTTCAGGTTTTAATATTTGGACATATAAAGGACATTTTGGAGCAAAATCTTTAACTGCCCATGCTCTTAAAATGGTTTGATGATCCTAGAGTAAAACAGGAAATAGAATGTGATCACAATGGAATAGAAGGAATACTGTGATTAAATCAAATGTAAAAAAGCTGAGCAATCTGACGACTCCATTTCAGATAAGTCACTTTTAAACTCTAAAACACCAGCTGATTGATGTATACGTCTGTGTATTTTATGGTTCTGGTCTGTGTAAAGGGATCATGAATATTGCCAGGTTGCTCTTAAACTTTGAACAGAAATCTAATCTGTGTAATTACTTATATGGCCCTCGTTGTAGCATCTCAGTGCCAGTAATTAATTCAAAGTGGAAAGAAGCAACTGATGGAGGCTACAACACAGGAAAAAAGAAACATATCACTTATAAACATGGATTTTTTTAAAAAAAAAGTCTACACTTAGCCTAAATGTTAATAATCTTTTCTAATATAAATAAATCTCCATGCTCATCTGTTTCCTTATACAGAGCCTCTGCCTGTGGATTGGAGTTTGGAAGGACATGGAAGAGGGCATGAGGCGTATGACAAGTTTCCTGCCTTCTCTTAAACCTGTGGAAGCTATTCTATGTTGGCTTTGTGAAGTGGGAAGGGAAGCAGGAAACTGCCTTGCTTCACTTTGTTGTCTTTCCTCTTGCATCTGTGGTCACTTAGATAATTTCTTCCTTGAAATCACAAGTCGTTGACTGGCTCGTTTTATTAGATGATTACAGTTCTTAGTTTTATATCTGTCTTTCAATTATACTTCATCCTATTTCATGCTTTAGCTGAAAGGAGAAGTATATACAAATAAGATGTCCTTCAGAGTCACTGAAAGGAATATGACAGTAGTGAAAAAAACGTTATTTTATGAGGTCCTATATTTTAAATACAAGAGTTCCTACTTAGCGATTTGTTGTAATTTTGCATTTTTGGTATAACCAGAAAATGTGTAGATTACTCTTTCCATAGTTCACTCAAGCTTACTATTTCTTCTTACAATTTTGGAAAATATATCCAAAGGTTTAAAAAAATTACCCAAGAATGAATAAAAAAAATCAAACTTAACTGATTTTAATCAAAGATGTACATATTGAAATATAGTTTCCTCTCAGATCCATAAAATGGAAAACTAAGAAATGTCGTGGGGTTGGATTTTTGTTTTTGGTTTGTTTTTTAGGTTTGTTTGTTTGCAACAACTGTGTTGTTAAAAAAAGTGTTAAGTTAAATATTTTTCACACACTACTAGGTGAATGCTGAAAACACATTATTGTACTCCTGTTTGTGAAAGCATACCATTTTACTGTGTCCCCACATTGAATAATAAGAGATAAAAATATATAGAGTTAACCATATTAAATCCCAGGGTCTAGCAGTTAAATACTATGAGCCATAAAAAACCCTAATTTGTCACTTTTTTGAGTAACAATAAGAATGTGCAACTATAATGATAGAGGTTAGTTATAGACCAAGAATAGCAGCAAATGTCCAAGAATGTCTATTATATTTTCCATTATTTAAGAAAGAGCTGAGCTCAGGAAGAGCTCTTTCATTACTGCACATCATGAAATAAAGATTAATAGGTTCGTTTATTCAATTTCACAAAATATAGTTACATTCAACACATTTAGCTTTAGAAGACTATATCAATTTTCATATATTTCAGAACAAAAAAATGTCTGAGAGAAGTGCAGAGGAACCAATTCTGTGGCCATACATAGTCATTACATTGGTGCTATAAGAAGAAAATGAAAAGAATGATTCATTACATTTGCAATGTCACCAGTAAGAAAGCTTTCGGAGTAGAGCACAAGGGAAATCTCTGCCTGACATAGTGTGTAACTGATCTGTTCAGACCACTCTATTGTAATGTCTATTGAGAAAGTACCAAGTATTCTTTCTGTGAAGTTCTAGAATAACCTAAATGATATTTTTGGGAGGTAATGCAGATTTGTTCGGAATTTGTATTTGTGACCTAAGCTATCACAAAGATGTAAGGAAGGAACAGCTTCAAGGGACTGATGTGCAAATCCTTTTAAAGGTCTGGCTTTAAAACGGTCATGGAAGTTCCACTGTATTTCTGTTCTTACTGTTTTATCTGATTAATGAAATGATGTTTTAACCCAGAGCCATGAATGTCAGGAGATTTTTTTCACATACCATCATGTGGGAGAGGTTTGTGAGGCAGAGATGGACTAGGCCTGGAAAATCCATGTAGCTGCAGATCCTCTAATCTTTTCTAGAGGATTAGAGCAACAGTTGCAGGTGATAACACAGTTTTTAGCCATTGCACCTTTTATAGAAGGATTCCTTTTCCCTGACCCCCTGCAGGTTGTTAAATACACAGCTTGTTTCATTGGCTTCTGGGGAGGCATGAAGATTTGCCCCTAAATGAATTTCAAACTATAGCTGATATGTGAGATGCAAATTGTTTTCCTGGGCCATGTTTAATATAATTAAAAAAATGTTGTAGGTTAGATTTACTATAAAAAGTATCCTGGTTCTAATGAATCTTTGTTACCTTTATGAGTTAGATACAATTTACCATGATAGATGGAAGTATACCAACCAGTGATAAATTTTGTTATATAATCAGTCATGGATATACTCTTCTTCCAAATATTATTCCAAATATTTTCTTTGTGCTTTTACTTCCTTAGTTTTAAGCTACTTAAAGGAAATAATATTCAAACAATCTGTCTGATACTATGGTGAGTGGAGTATTTTTATAGAAAACAAGACATTTTAATTAAACACAGACATGGTTAATATAAACAACATCTAAAAAGAAAATCACATTGTCCAAAATATGAAACACTGAGGGTATGTCTACACTACAAAGTTAATTCGAACCTTGAGCCATTAGTTCTAATTAACTTTAATAGCGTCTATACATAAAAACCTCTATTTTGAATTTAATTCGAAATAGCAGAGCGCTTAATTCGAACTTGGTAAACCTCATTCTACAAGGAATAATGCCTAATTCGAAATAGCTAATTCGAAATAAGTACTGTGTAAACACTTATTTCAAATTAGGGGGCCTCCAGCCCTTCCCAGTTCCCCCTGGTGGCCACTCTGGGCCAAACCAGGAAAACTCCTCTCCTCTCCCCCAAACCCGGGGCCCTTAAAGGGATAGACTCTGTTCAGATGGCACTTGCCAGAACCGGCCCTGCCAGCAGTCTCTGCCCCTGACTCAGTGGCCCCAGGATGAGCCAGGCAGTCAGTGCCAGTCAGCTGTCCTCCGCCCAGTCCCCCAGCACCCAGGGGCCAGCCAGGAGCCGTAGACGGCATGCACCCTCCTGGACTAGTGCGGAGGTCATGGACCTCATTGAGGTTTGTGGGAGGCCCCCAAAGTCCATGATCTCTGCACTAGGCAGAGGAACGTGGCTGTCTATGGTCGCATAGCGGCCACCACAGCCCAAAAGGGACACAGGCGCACCCAGGAGCAGGTGCGCCTAAAAGTCAAAGAGCTGCGGCAGGCATACGCCAGGGCCACCAGAGGTGGCGCCACAGCAGAGGTGGCGCTGTAGCAGGGTCTGCCACTTGCCCCTACTTCCCTGCCCTCAACCAACTCCTGGGGGGTGGGGCTGTCCGTGCCAGCCCGGGAGGCAGAGAGCCAGCTCCCTCCTCAGTTTCCCCCCTCCCCTCTTCCACTCTCTCTCCTGCCCTCTCCCGCCTCCTTTCCTCCGTCTCCCCACTGTGCCATTCCCCCTCCCCAGTTGTGTTCAATAAAGAGTTTCTGGTTTTGAAAATACATGTGGAAGGGCGGGCTAGGGAAGGGTAAGTGGAAGGACGAGAGGAAGGAATGGGGCACAAGTCCCCGGTGGGGCAGATCGGAGAGACTGTTAGCGCTCCTCAGGGTGGAAGCTCTCCTGCAGGGCCCCCTGGATCCTGACATCCCCTCGATGGTCCTCCTGGATGGCAGACTGCAGACAGTGCAGCTAGGCTGCTGGCAACGTGTCCATGAGATGCAGCAGAGTCCCTGGGACAGATCTGGTTCCATGTTGCAGAGTGCCGTGGTACCCCGGGTGAGGGCAAGCAGAGCACTCTGAGACACAAATGCTTTGCTGTCCCTCAGACAGGAAGCAAAAAAACCTGAGAACTGTCTGTCCGAGATGGGGGGTCAGATCCTTTTAAGCACAGACCTCGGCTAACATGAGGAAGCAGCTCCACACACTAAGTCCGACACTGATGCCCTGCTGGCACTGGTTCCGGCCAGGCTGACCTTGATTCAGGCTCCACTCAATGTGGACGTGCTATTTTGAATTAGAAAAACGCTATTTCAAATTAGTTTTTGTGTCTAGATGCGTTATTTTGAATTAGCTTAATTAGAATTAACTAATTCAAATTAAGTTAATTTGAAATAACGCTGTAGTGTAGACATACCCTGATAGGTTATTCAAATAAAGAAAAGAAGAAAATCTTTAAAAGTTAATTCATTTTATTTTTAATATTTGCAGAAGATGTGTTGCCATACTTGTTCTGCTACTACATGCTGTAGCTCCTTTAGTATTCTCCTTGTGATCTTGACAGTAAAGACAGAGGTTCACCTTGCAACATATTTATAAACTCGTTCAACACACTTAAGTATTCATTACAAGCTCACCTTAGCACGTATGCATTATTAGCACAAGCACTCCTTATGGCACTCACTATCACATTACTCTTGCTCTTGTTAAACACATATGATTTGTTGTCAATCACATTGTTACCCGTGTGGGGAAACTTCCACATTCAATTTGGGAAGAGTCTAAAGGGAGCTATGCTGGAGGAACATCTGCACTAAGAAGCTGCTTTAACACATTTCTCAATCCTCCTGTTACAGCAGTTGCTGCTCATCTTCTTTTTAATAAATGAGTGACACTTACTAATACACAGTAGATCACAGTCTGAAGTGCTGTGTAAGGTATGCAGGCTGCTTAATGGGTGTAAATGTAATATAATCTAAGATGTTGAGGAACTCAAAAGAAGGTGTACATTTCACCAGTCTGGTCTCCCGCAAACTCATCTTTGATTTTGGCCATAAATGTTTTGTATATAC